GTAAGGTGGGAACCCAGTGGAAGGGAGCTATGGGGGGGAAAAGGAGAAACAATTATAATAATCTGAGAAATAAAGACTTATTAAATTTTAAAAAAAGCTATTATAAAGTCAAAATGCTTTTAAATATATGCACTTTTTTTTTTTTTTTTTTTTTAAATCATAGGTTTGGAAAAAGAAATGTCCAAAACATTTATGCAGTCAGCATACCAGACTTGGTGTATATGTGGGTGTGGTGGTCTATTGTGATAATTCAGGTCCAGAGACAGACCTATGGACAAGATGATCTTCAAACAACTTCCTGACTTTGAGAATCTATAATAGTTCAAGTTTTTATTTTTATTGAATCTGTGGCATATCATGGTAGGTTTTATAATGGCCCATTATATAATATACTTTCAGTATAGCAGTCCCTCCATATCAATGGTTTCTCTCTCCAAGTTTTCAGTTGCCTGCATGGAAAATTTTCCCAGTCATCAACATGACTGTCGTTCCTGACATCCAACCACCGACATGCTCATGACTTGATCAGTCAGGATCACCCAAAGCAAATAATCTTCCTTTTGATGCATGGTCAAGTCAATAGTAGCCTACTGTTATGTCATGAAGACCTGGTCATTTACCTCACTTCATTTCACCACGCAGGAATCTTATCATCTCACATGGTAACAAGAAGGGTGAGATTAGTACAATGAGATATTTGAGAGAGGTACGTTTACCTAAGTTTATTACAGTACTCTGTAATTGTTCTATCTTATTAGTTACTATTATTTCTTATTTTGCCTAATTTATACATGAAACTTTATTATAGGTATGTAAAAGAAGAAATATAATATGGATGGTTCCCAACTTAACAATGGTCTGACTTATGATTTTTCAACTTTACATGAAAGGCATGAAAATATGCACTCAGTAGAAACTGTACTTCATATTGAAATTTTGATTTTTTCCTGGACTAGTGATATATGGTAAGATACTCTCCTGTGACACTGGGCAGTAGCAGTGAGCCACAGTTCCCAGTCAGCCACATATCACAAAAGTAAACTGATATTCTACAGCATAGCATTAAATGCATTTTTAAACCTACAATATTTTCAACTTATTATGGGTATATATTGATGTAAATTCATCATTAAATTGAACATCTGTAAATACAGGATTGAGGACTATTTTCAGGCATCCACTTGGAACGTATCCTTTGTGGATGAGGCCAGACTGTACCGTAATCTCAGATGCTGTAGACTGTGGTTAAGTGATTTTCTTTAGTGATATCCTAAAATCTGTTAAACAAAATATAAATGTCTGCTTTTTCATTACAAGTTTGCTATCACTGACCCCCCAAAAAATAACTGGAACTAGTCTACATTGCACTTGAAATCTGAAACCCAATAAAGAAAAGCCCCGTAATTTTATTGGTTCATTTTACATAAAGGCAAACTAAGTAAAAAGACAAAAAACACTGGTTTTCCATTATCATTCACTGATAGTGACCCCTGCACTGACAATATTTGCCCATTCCTTCATTCTCTTAATGCCGAAACCGGTTTAGTTTGGTGGATAGAGCGTCTGCCTGTGGACTGAAAGTTCTCGGGTTCGATTCCGGTGAAGGGCATGTACGTTGCTTGTGGGTGCATCCCCAGTGAGGGGTGTGCAAGAGGCAGCTGATTGATGATTCTCTCTCATCGATGTTTCTAACTCTCTAGCCCTCTCTCTTCCTCTCTGTAAAAAATCATTAAAATATATTTAAAATTTTTTTTTTTACTATTGATCAGGTAGAGAAAGAACAGCTATAAGGCATCAGGATTCTGCCAGTTTTTCCATTAGTTGAAACAAATACCTAACTACAAAACCTACTGAAATTGCCAATTTAAAAATGCTATTCAAACACGGAGCAATTTCTCCAACCACATATAATAAATTACAATTAGGGCCAGTTATATTTAGGTAGTCTAATAATAACTCTAGACTATAAGACCAGTATTTATTAATCATAAAGTTAAAATAAAATTTGTTATTAAAAATGAAATAGACATCTCTATTACATTGATGCTTTCCCCTCCCCCTAAAAAACATCAATAAACATATCCTGGAGTGAAGATGAAAAAAATTTAAAAGTAAAATAGACATTCTTATTGTTGCTTTACTAAAGAATCATCTAGTAACTCGACGCAAGAATGTAAGTACAAGCCCACAAATTCCACAACGTGTACAATAGTATGTGCCAGTTTTACTTTGGATTAAAAAATAATAAATTATTTCAAAGCATTCAAGTTACACAAAGAAGTTAATAATCTAAAGGTCTCATTTTTTAATGGCAGTCAAGTGAATAAAAAAAATTATTCTTATAAAACTACAAAACACCATGAAATTTAAAAATCATCACAGTGTTGACTGGGACAATGCTGAAAATGAAAGAGTTTACTAGATTCTATCAAATACCAAATGGCTGAGGTGGGGTAGTATTTGAAAATGCAACAGAAAAAAGAAAAAAAAATGCAATAAAATGAAATGTCAAAACCTAGTTTCATATATAGAAACTATATTTTTGGTGATTATTATATAACTGAGAACTTTTATGTATTTTTCATTCATCTACTATTCTTCTGTGACTAAAAACTGAATTTAAAATTTATAAAGATGAACTAGGAAAGGCCAGATAATTCCAGATACATGAAAATGACATGAGGCAAGTGATGACTAATTCAAAGAATCCCAGATGGATTACCTTATTGGCAGCACTCAGAAACACCATTTAGGGCTGGAAGAAATGTAAGAGATCTATCTAATTATGCAGGATGACAGGAAGACCAGAGAGAGAAAATGACCTTCCCGCCCTAGCCTCAGTGGATAGAGCTTAAGCCGGCGAACTGAAGGGTCCTGCGTGGATCCCCATCAAGGGCATGTACCTTGGTTGCAGGCTCCTCCCACCCGGGCCCTGATTGGGGCTCGTGCAGGAGGCAACCAATTGATATGTTTCACATTGAAGTTTCACTCTCTCTTCTACTCTCCAAAAATCAATGGAAAATATCCTTGAGGGGGAAAAAAAAAGAAAAGGAAAATAAAAAAGACCTTCCCAAGGTAACTGATGGAGAGCCCAATATAAAGTGCACATCTCTTGTTCCACCATACTGTTGTGCATCTTTTCTGTTTTACTCTCCTATTGGAAAACCTTTGGTTCTCTCCTGGCCTAGCATCACAGAAATATAATAAGCACTAAACTAAGGTAGTTCATTACCACATCAAAATTTCCTTCAGCCCTAACCAGTTTGGTTCAGTGGATAGAGTGTCAGCCTTAGGACTCAAGGGTCCCAAGTTTGATTCTGGTCAAGGGCATGTATGTACCTTGGCTGTGGGCACAACCCCAGTAGGAGGTGTGCTGATCAATGTTTCTCTCTCATTGATGTTTCTAACTCTCTATCCTTCTCCCTTCCTCTCGGTAAAAAAATCAATAAAATATACTTTAAAAAAAACTTCCTTTAAAGCTGACTTGGTAAAACATGTCTTGAATATGAACAGTATACGGAAATGATTTGTAAATGTATATAAACTGGAGTTATTTGACCAAAGGTTTCTCTGACCTCTGACTTATTCTGGAACTTCCACCATATAATCCTAGTCTTGGATAAGACCCTCCACCCTTACCCCACCCTAGTGTTAAATGCAGCCTGGCCAATTCCCCACACAGCTGTTTGATACCAAAAGGATTTAACAGTTCAACAAAACCATACCAAGCAGTTCAGGGGATCCGCCAACGTTTTGCCTAACATCAGAGAATGTGTTTCAGGCATCGTGTCAAGCTTGATCATGTAAATGTCAAGGTAAGATAAAAAGACGAATTTAAGATGCTTCTGTCCAAAATGGTTAAGAACTCACTCTCACAGATGGAAAAAAGAAGTTAAATGAATACCATTTACAGTCAACCTACAGTCACCGTATTTACTCATCCTCCATCCTAAGACACTTTTAAAAAGGGCAGTGGCTCGTTCTGAAAAGGTTATTACCAACTAAGTGCCAGGCCTTGGGAATCGCCAAAGCCATTCCTACTACAACGTACCCATCGTTAATGGAATTTGGTTTCCTTCACTGCTTAATACCATCGTCACATTTGCAACGCTACTAGAGATAAGTGCTGTGTCACCGGGGAAAATACACGTTTCTGAACCCCCGAAGGAAGCTGTCCGAGAAGGTCGCTGGCCTGTGCCCTCGGACTACTCCATCCCCTCTAAAGGCTGCCAGACACGGCTCTCCCTAAGCCCACGTGCTGCCGGCTGCAGGGAGGGAAGGCCCCCGCCCCGCACAACCCGCCAGGGAAAGCTGCCCCCGCCGGGTCCCACCACGGCCACGGCGGGGCCGCTCCTCACCATCTCCAGGTGAGCGCCGGGGTCCTCGGGGTGTCCGCTGCCCGGGGCCGGGCTGGCCCTCCCCTCCGGGGTCTTCCGCTCACTGTTGCGCTTCAAGCCGCCGGCGTCGCCTCGACCTCCAGCCTCCCGGCGCCGCCGCTGCCGGCTCCACAGGTACATGGCCCCCGCGCCCAGCAGCAGGGGCGCCCCGACCGCCAGCGCCAGCTGCCATCGCGGCAGGCCCCCGGCGCCCGGGCCCGCCGCCGCGCCGCCGCCGCCCACCCCGCTCCCGGAGCCGGGCGCAGCCGCAGCCACCACCGCCGCCTCCACAGGCTTAGAGGCGGCCATGGCGAGCGTCCTCCGCCTCCGCCTCTCTGCGGGCCGCGGGCGCCACAGTCACCAGGCAGCGTGCGGAGGAAAGCCGGAGGCAGGGAAGGGGAGGCTGAGAGCGAGAGAGCACGCTCGGAAGCCACAGCAGACAGAAAAGGGCCAGAGGTCACCGGAAGCCCAGGGCATGCCGGGCCAGACCTGCGCGCCCTCCTCCTCCCATTGTAACCGTAGAAAAGGCGGAAGGGAGGCGGGGAGTAAACGGAGGGTGGGAGAATCACTTCCGGGTCAAGGGAAACGTTGTACAGAGGCGTCCGTCCGGTGGGCGTCGGGGCAGCCCTTTTTCCTGCCTCTCGCCCCGCTGTTGTTTGTGAGACTGTCTTCGGGGGCCTTGGGGGGGTCTCCGCCGGCAGCGGGGGTCTGCCGAAGCCGAGGAGCGGTGCGCAGACACTGGGTGTTAGGGCGTCAGGCGACCGGGGGCTGAGGGAGGCTCTGCGGGGACCCTAAGAACGGGCGAGAGTGGCGGAGGGTTTGTGAAGGTGATTGGCTGGCAGGGGAGGTGGGCGGGGCGCAGGCCGCGGTGCCCAGTGTATTTGGTGGAATGGGCACCCCTCGTTTTCTAGTTATCGCCACGTTGGCTCTTCTCAGCGTCCCGCTGCCGTCTGCTCGATTGTCTGCGTGTCCTGGAAACTAAGGGATTGGGAGGACTTTTAAAGATGTAAGAGAAAAAGAGCTCAAAGCTGAAGATAACCTGCTGTGTCCCCGATCTTATCTGTGCCATGGCCAGATTTTAGTTTGAGACGCGGGGACACAGTAGATGGCAGCAATCGGATTGGGTGGAAACGGGCGAGTCTAGGCTGGCTCTGTCTAAACTAAGGGCTTGAACGGGGTCCTGGTGGCTCCCCGGCGCGCTGGTTAGGAAAGCGATGACATCGATGTGTTGCTACCCCGCTTTCCAACTGAATGGGCAGGAACGCGAGGACCCGGAGTTACCAGCTTTTCCTTACGAGTTTGTGTCTTGTACTGGGTGGCGCCTGCCACCCCAGCTCACACCGCGCTCCCGAAAATACCCGCCATCCTCCGCGGGGCGCTGATCTGCCCAGGGTCCTTTTTGTATGCTAAATGTCAGTCTTCTTACCTCATTCCCGAATAGAAATTTTAGTTCAGAGCTTTCACGTATTAATAGCTTTGTCTTCCTTTCCCGTTGCTCTGCAAAGATCTCTTCAAACAAAAATGTTCTTAACCGGGAATTATATGGAATTCACAGTATTTTTTTTTTTTTTTTTTTTTTTTTTTTTTTTTTAAGGAGAAAAGCCAAGTATTAATAGAGAATCAGAATTCAGAACTGAGGCTCCTCATTCCAGGTATGCCAGTCTGCAGACTGGATGAAAAGCGACCGACCGCAAGGAAGTCCTGCCTGGTCGCCTTGCAAACTCAAAGAGATCTAAAGTAACCTAAAGGATGGTCTGAAATTAAAACCTTTAATTAAAAAGCAATTTATAAAAACAATTAAAAAGGAAAGCAGCCAATTAATGATTCTCATCATTTGTTTCCCTCTCCTTCCTCTCTGAAATCAAGTTAACAATATTAAAAAAAGAAAGAAATAGAAAGTTTAGAGTGGGTAGCCTTCTAAGCCAGTGTCTTCCCTGACACAGATCAACTTCTATTTTTACTGACCCTATTGTCTTTTTGCACGTAAGGTACCTGTGGAATGTCAGGGCCACTTGTAACTTCCCTTTTCCAGATCCCTCTGGGCACAACAAGTGGCACTTGGGTGTAGAGGACAAATTCCCTTATTTTTGTTATTGTGTTAATCTTTGACTGTTAACTCTCCTATACCCATGAATGTAAAAAAAACATGTCTTATTTTACTTTTTATCCATTCCCAGTGGTTCCCCTTTGCTTCTCTAATCTATCACCAATGAATTTCTTGTACTACTAAGTTATAAAAATAGGTGAAAGATCACCATTCTTCAGAGCATTACCCCAATAGGTTGACCTTCTGCTTCCCGTCAATTATTGACAATTGTTGACAAATAAACTCATAAAAATTCACAAAAATTCTTTAGAGGTTTGAATGTTTTCTTACGTTATCAAGACCTCTGTATTAATAATTTACAAGTGATAGATTAAATGAGCATGGCCTAATTTGAAAGTTTCAGAATCATTGCTTTTCTTTTGCTTCATACAGATTCCTATTAGTAAATTGCTTTCAGACAAGTTCCTTAGCAACAGACTGAAAAGATGAGCTAAAGATGATAGGGGCCCGCCTTGGGGCTAAGTAGCTGAGCATGCATCAAGCGGTCCCTAGTTCCATTACACATCAAGGCACCTGTCCTATGTTTCTATCTCTTCCTTTTCTCCTTTCCTTTCTCTCTCTAAAAAAAAAATAAATAAATAAATTTAAACCATGATAGCAATGGAATTGATCAAATACATTGTAGTAATTGTTGCAATGGTTATCTCTCTGATTCCCAGCCCCACAAAGCAAGTATTGTGCCCCTTTACATGATTTTTCCCTTTCATTTTCAGAACAATTATGATTTTTTCTCTGAAATTTCCATTTTTCTGCAGCCTCATAGGGGATTATCAAGTGCTATTAATTACAAACTATTTGTGGGAACTAATAAAGTGTTCCAAGAAGAATTATTTTTTGACATAGATTATAGGTTGTTATGGTTACAACCCAAAAGTTACAAAGGGTTTAGTGTGAAGTCTTTCTCCAACTCCTGTCCCCAGGCACCCAGTTCCCCTCTCCAAAGACCATCAATTTTAGAGGTTCTTGAAACATTTGTTTAAGATTTATCTAAAGGGCTGTTTTGGAGGCTTAATTTAAAAAATATATATTTTTATTGATTTCAGAGAGGAAGGGAGAGGGAGAAAGAGAGAAACATCAATGATGAGAGAGTAATTGATCGGCTGCCTCCCTCATAACCTACCTGGGGGATCAAGCCCAAAACTCAGGCATGTGCTCTGGCCAGGAATTGAACTGTGTCCTCCTGGTTTATAGGTCGAGGCTCAACCACTGAGCCACACCAGCTGGGCTGCCAGGCTGGGGACTTTATTTTTAAGATCAACATCAATAAATGAATTTGTTATTGTTGGTTTTATACTTTGTTAATCTGATTTCCATTCCTGAGCCTACTCATCTGTCCTCCCATTTTTCTCCATCATTTCCAAATTTATTAGAGTACAGAATTGAGCAAAAATGTCACTAGCTTTTTGACCTTCCTGATCTGATGCATACATCTCTAGATTGTGAAACAGCAAAAACATAACACGTTTCAGGTTATAATAAAGACTTAGATAGGTAATAGGTAATATTTAAAGTCTTTTTAGTGTAATCCTATATAATAAAAACGTATATGCAAATTGTTCGAACAGGAGTTTGGGAATTTGACTGCTCGCTATGATGTGCACTGACCTCCTGGGGGTTGCGGAACACGGTGGGTGTCAGCCATGCGGCCCTGGCAGTGGACAGCAGTGGAGGCACTACTGGCCCCTCGACGAGAACAGGACTAACGCTGGTGTGTGTTTCTCAGCACCTAGACGGGTTCAGGAATCTGGAGAAGGGGCTGTTGTAAATTATTAAAGAGCCTAGAGACAAAACAATTTTGGAAGGCATTTTGGGGTAACTAGAGGAGATTTAACTAAAGAATGAGCTAAGACTTGGAGGGCTATTGGGATGGAATGAATGCATCTTGCATGAGGAACGAACATGCATTTTTTGGGCCTTGGAGCCCTATTCCCTGTACCAAAGTCTATTTTGGCTTGTGAGAGCTGCTATAACCACATACCATAGACCAGGTGGCTTAAACAACATTTTTATTTATCACAGTTCTGGAAGCTGGAGTCCAAGATAAGATTCTGGCTAATTCTATTTCTGGTAAGGGCTCTCTCTCTCCGTGGCCTGCAGACAGCCTCCTTCTCTTTGTGTTCTCACATGACCTCGGTTTTTCTGTGTGTGTGCTCACCAAGGAGGAGAGCAAGCTCTCGTGTCTTTTTCTTTTTCTATTGCAGCTTGAATCCCTGACCATAGAGCTTGGACAGGGCAGGCCACACCGAGAGGAAAGCTCAGCTTCCGTGTTAGTGAAGGCACCCTGGTGGGAGGGGAGCCCGGGGCTGTCACCATCAGCTCTGCCAGGGAAAGGGTGTGTGCGCTCACTGGATGAGAAGGGCCTGGAGGCCCCCATCTGAGGCCCGCCCGTCATAAGGGAGGATGGGATGAATGACCTTGTCACTCCCCACCCGTGGCTGCCTTCCAGGCAGGAAAAGGCAGAGCAAAGTAAAGGAGGGCATCCAGGACTAATGTGGAAGGCTCCTCCAGCCTCTGTCTCCATGGTCCCCAGCCTTGCTGCTCTGTTTCAGGACAGGACCGAGAAAAGAGGCTGCCAGGGCCCGGCCTGGCCCTTAGCCGAAGGAGCGCAGGAATGTTGTTTCTAAAAAGAAACGGACAGAGAGAAGGTTCTGGGAGTATAGGAGAGAACCCTAGCAAAGAGCCAGGCCACGGCCACATTGGGGTAGCCCTGAGAGGGCTCGAACCACTTCAGCAGACACTGTTCCGTCTACTGAACTATAAGCATCCCAGAATAGAAGCTATGTCTGGTTTATCTTGTATCTTATACAGAGCCCAATACAATGCCTCCTCTAATGCTATATGTCAGAGCAAGTGAATATATTTTTATCTTTTTGTGTTGGAACATACAGTTCATATTTTCCACAATGATCTTATTTTCATAATTATTTGTCCTTAGGTGTGCTACCTACGAATACTCAATTCCGAGTCCCTGAAGCATGAAGACCATGTTCTAATCATCTTTGTACTCCTACATCTGTTTAGAGCTTGAGGGTATAATGAGTGTTTGTTAACTTATTTATCTGCCCAAGATTTCAGGAAATTGATCATTGTCTCACAAATAGAAAGAGGTAAAGGCTGGTCAACCTTGAAGCTCTGAAAGGTCAGAGCCAACCACTCCCTATCTAATTGAGACACAGGTAACTGAGGCAACTTCCCCATCTTGTAATCATGTAAATCATTACTGGTGTGATAATCCACTTATTACCTGCCTAAGGGCTATGGGTGTATCCCAAACCTGCTTAAGGGTAATGGGTATATCCCATAGTCTCAATAAAAGGGATATGAAGGCCTGAGCCTAGTGGTATACTAGAGGTAGACTCCCGCCTGGCCCCCCATTTTCCCCGAATTAACTCTTTTCCAGTCTCTTCATTTGTGTGCGGCCTTCTCCAGAAACCGGACTCTGAACAGGAATCCTGAACCAGGTGGCCCATGATAAGGGATCCCACACAAGATGATGTATGAAACATGGTCAGTGCTGAATAAAGGGTTGATCAAGAGTTTGTTGCACAAGTTCCCAACTGCTGCTTTATCTCCATTCTACTGTGGCCAACATGAATGGTCTGGTACCACCACTGCTGTCCAACCACTGCTGGTGCCTCTGGGAAACCAACTCACTGCTGCTGCTGCCGCCAGCAGCACCGTCATCATGATAGTTCCCAGCCTGAAGCAGACTGTAGCCACTGCTACCAGCTCCACCACCGCAGCTGTTGCCATTGGAATCGACTTGGATTTTCCTTTGTATCCCACTTATGACTTACGGAAGTCCCTGTGACCTCTGAGCCCTCCAGCTGTTAGCTATTCTCCAGTCTTTCTCCTGATGGTTTCTACCTAATCCAACTTCCATCAAAGCATCAGCTGAGTGGGTGTTATTGCTCTGTTTCTCAGGAGGAAGGCCACTTGATGATTCAATTAAGTGGCTGCTCATTTTACTGTCAGAAGGAGCCTCTGCATTTATCTGCAGGGAACGATCTACAGTAACCCCAGCTCCCACTCTTTAGCTATGACTGATAGCTCAGATGTATAGTTTAATGCAGTCCTTTGCTACCTTTCTGCCCACTCACACAGATTTATAAGATTTTTCCATCCTCATCAACCTAGTTCATTGCCACCCACAAGAATTTATGTCATTTGAAAATGTAGAAATGTTGCCTTGCATTTTAAATTACAAGGATATTGCATAGAGGTTATACCCATTGTGTAACATTGTATAACAAGGATGCTGAGGTCCAGCACTTTGTTCATCACAGTCAGGTGTCTGGCTCTGTCTGCCTTGGGAAAGGTGCTCCTTTTCCTGATTTTCATGAAGATGCTAGCCATCACTAACTGATGGGCTTGCAGTGGAATACCCACCTATTCAGGGCACCATTTTCTAATTCACTCCTATTAAATTAGTAGTCCTGCCTATGCAGACCTGATCTTGGCCTTGGCATCCTGGGAGAGCACTGGACCCAGGAGCCTCTAGCCTATATTTCCTGATACGTACCTTTTAAGTTTTCCTAAACAATGGGCAATTGCCTCAAATAGTCTCAGTGGGAGACCAATTTTATTAAATTATGGAAAAATGTAAAACCATGAGAAATAGTTTCTGTACCTGTGTTCCAGTTATCTACTGCTGCTTAACAAACCATCCCAAGAGGTAGTGACTTAAAACAACCTAGTGGCATAAAACAACTATTTTATTACATCTCACAATTTTGTTGCTCAGGAATTTGGGCAAGGCTTGGCTGACTCTTCTGCTGATGTTAGCAAAGCTTACTCTCCTGGTGGATGGGCTTGTCTGGAGGGTTCAAGATGGCTTCGTTGGGTGTCTGACACCCTGAAGATTACTTGAAGACTAGACTCATGGGAGCACCTTCTTGTGGACTTTCCGGCATGGCAGGCAGCGTGGTCAGACTTATGTGGCAGCTCAGGGTTCCTAGAGAGCATGTCCCAAGAGCCCCAGGCAGAAGCTGCAAAGCTTTCTAAAAACCTCACTTCTACCACATTCTGAGGCTCAAGCATGTTTCTAAGGCTGGCACAAAGTCACAGGGTGCTGAATAAGACTCCACTCTCAATGGGAGAAACAGCAAAACGTTGCAATTATTTTTACTTTACTGCAATCTTCTACCGAGATTTAACCAATGTTAACATTTTGCCATACTTTCTTGTGACACAATTAGAAAGACATTTTATTATAAAACCCAATAAAAAGCACCTGAAAGTCTAAATAAATGTCATACCAAATAGTGAAATGTTAGTAGTTTTCTTTTTGAAGTCAAGAAGCAGACAGAGTCCGGGGTTTATTGCATAGTACTAAATGTATCAGTCAAAATAATAAGACAAAATAAGAAAAAAAAAAGCAATTATTTTTACTCTACTGCAATCTTCTACCGAGATTTAACCAATGTTAACATTTTGCCATACTTTCTTGTGACACAATTAGAAAGACATTTTATTATAAAACCCAATAAAAAGCACCTGAAAGTCTAAATAAATGTCATACCAAATAGTGAAATGTTAGTAGTTTTCTTTTTGAAGTCAAGAAGCAGACAGAGAGTCCGGGTTTTATTGCATAGTACTAAATGTATCAGTCAAAATAATAAGACAAAATAAGGAAATAAAAGGGCAATGAAGAAGTAACTTTTCATTATTTTTAGACCACTCACAGTTATCTCCTTAGAAGACCCAAGAAACTCTGTAATCTAGTAGAAGCAATAAAATAACTAAGTAATGTTGCTGGATAAGCCTCACACTTTTAAAATTGATCCTTTGTGTTCTCTAAAATATTAGCTATTGCGTGGTTCGCCTGTTCTCAGGTCTGGCACACGGTTGCTTCCTTCTTTTCCCTCCAGCCTGGATCATCATATTAGGTCTTAGCTTTTGGTGGTTGGACCCCACACCTTCCACTGGGGGTGGAAACATCTTGTCACCCATATTTGATGTAGAGTTGTCTGTGGGTGTTTCCTGTACAGTGGCTCTATTAGTTTTTATGTGGGAAATTCAGTGAGATAAAAAAAACAATGCTGCCTTCATTTTTATCTTCCCACAATACCTGGTAGCTCAATAGCATCTTGATTTTGTAGCTACCCATTTAGAGAATTTATTTTTTATTTATTTTTAGCTTTGGTCATTTTTTTTTAATTTTTAATTTTTTACTTTTATTATAAAACTAGAGGCTCAGTGCACGAAATTTGTGCAAGAAGCTCAGCCCTCACAGCCCTGGCTGCCTTGGCCAGCCCTCGTAGCCCCGGCTTCATCCTGAAGGTTGTCCAGAGAGTAGTCTGGAATGATGTCCTGATGGTCATTCTGCTGTTTGGCCTAATTAGGATATTAGCTCTTTATTATATAGGATGATTATGGGTTCATAGGAAGTTACATATTCATGTACATGGAAGATCCATGTACCCTTTACCTGGCCTCTTCCAGTATTGACAACTTGCTTAACTGTAGGACATTGTCAAACCAGGAAGTTGTCATGGATACAATCCACAGCACTTATTCAGGTTTCACCAGCTATACATGTACTCCTTTGTGTGTGTGTTATAGTTTTGTGTAATTTTAACACATGTACATCTCTGTGTGTAACTACATCTACAATCAAAACAGAGATGTCTCATCTCCACAAGATCCCTCATGCTAAACTTACATAGCTACAACCCTGCCACTCTTAACTTTGGCAACCGCTAATCTGTTCTATATCTCTCAGATTGTGTTAGTTCAATATTCTATATATATAAAAGCCTAAGAAACCCAGCAACAGGTTGACCAGTCGCTATCATGTGCACTGACCACCAGGGGCCAAATGCTTAATGCAGGAGCTTCCCTCTGGTGGTCAGTGCGTTCCCACAGCTAACCTCCCTCTGTCTCTTCCCCCAGCTTTTTCATTTTCACAGGGTCCAAGGATAATTTTCACTGGTTACCTGGGCATTCATAGTGTCTGATTGTTTTATGAGAACACACTCACCTCAGGCTTCCTACCCTCAAAGAGGGTAGAACCTTTCACATTAAGCATGATTTTAAAAAATAATAGTGCCCACTTCAACTGCAGCTGTTGCTGCCACTTGACACTTGGGGACACCCTGGGGGCTTAGCAAGGCAGAGCATTAAGACAGGGACAAAAGAACAACTCCAGTCCTAACTGGTTTGTTTCAGTGGATAGAGTGTCGGCCTGCGGACTGAAAGGTCCCAGATTTGATTCTGGTCAAGGGCATGTACCTTGGTTGCGGGCACATCCCCAGTAGGGAGTGTGCAGGAGGCAGCTGAATCAATGTTTCTAGCTCTCTATCTCTCTCCTTCTGCATTCCTCTCTGTGAAAAGTCAATAAAATATATTTAAATAAATAAAACACAAACTAGGGGGAGGAATGGAAGATGGGATGAAAAGAACCTGGTTTGCCATCTTCTCTTTCAACTTTCCCTTCAAATTAAAAAAAAAAAAAAGAAAAAAGAAAAAAAAAAAAAAAAAAAAAAAAAAAAAAAAAAAAAAAAAGAACAACTCCTGGGTCCTATGCCCCTGGCAGCATCTCCTCCTCTGCCAGGGAAGGTGGCAGATGGTGGAGCAGGGCCTCCTCTTGGGTCAGGGTGACAAGCCCGAGAACAGCTCTCCCCCAGCTGCCCGAGGCTTGACACCTGCTGTTGCTCCTGCTCCTTCACTGCTAAGGCTTGTTAAGAGAACCTTGGTCCAGCCTGGCCTGCATGGCCCAGTGCTTGAGTGTCTACCTCTGAACCAGGATTCTGGTCAAGACACATGTCAGGGTTGTGGGCTTGATCCCCAGTAGGGAGTGAGCATGAGGTAGCCAATCAATGATTCTCTCTCATCATTAATGTTTATCTCTCTCTTCTTCTCCCTTCCTCTCTGACATATTTTATTAATACATCAATAAAAATGTATTAAAAAAATAGAACATTGGTCCAAGCAAAGTGGGAAAATATTTTTCTCTAATACTTTCAAAGAAATGGGCTTAATTTGAAAAAAAAAATGTGGAGGCCAGCTAATTTTATATAGTTGGGTACATTTATCTCTTCTTGCTTTGGGAGAATATTTGGCAAAAGATTTGAAGAGTTTCCTTTCCTTCCTATATTGGAGATCCTGAAGACTATCTCTGGTTTTGGTAACTCTTTAAATGGACTCACAGGGCTGGGGGCTGGGTGGGTGGGGAGGGGGGGTGAGAGGAGGCCAACTGTAATAAAAATAAATAAAAGGGCTCACAGGACTCATTATATACTTGTACTCATAGCTAAGATTTACTACAGTGCTATAAAACAAAATCAGCAAAGCAGAAAGGCAAACAGGTGAAGTCTGAGGAAGCTGGTCTTACGCGTCCAAGAGTCCCTTCCCAGTGACGTCACACGGGGTGTGCTTGATGCCTTTGGCAGGGAGCTCTGATGGCACACACAACATGTTTAGTAGGAAGCTCTCCGGAGACCCATTGCCACATTGGGGACCCAGAAAGACTTCATGTTTAGGAATTAGTAAGGACAACATTTTGAATTTGCAAGTTTTCAGAATGTGTTTACAATAATCCTTACCCCTTTTGTCCTGATCATTTATCTAGTAAGCAGCCTAGAAAAGATCCATTTCTATTTGGGGGTCAGCTATATTTGATAATCAAACTGCCTAAGCAGAAAGATGAGTGAAACACAATCAGGTAATCACTTCATTGTTGCAGACTTCAAATAACCTGGAAAGCCGAACACAAGTCACCAGCAGGGAGCGTTTGATGCGGAGATGAGAGGACCATGTGGGTGGAGAGGTCCCACTCCATATGATGTCCTTCCTCCCAGCTTGTAGCTTACCACAAGTTAGATTTCTTGTGATCAATCATGTCAGATGCAATAAGCCCCGCATTAGAAATGTAGAGCCACCAACCAGCAGCTTTAGATGGTCCCATCAGAGAACAAGTCTTTCCCCATGGGAATCTGCCAGTGTCCCTTGTGGTACAGGCAGCACCCAAGGTGGTTTTATAGTTTACTAGAGACCTGGTGCATGAAATTTGTGCAGGGGGGTGTAGGGGGTGTCCTTCAGCCCAGCCTGCACCCTCTCCAATCTGGGACCCCTCAAGGGATGTCTGACAGCCTGTTTAACCCCAATCTCAGTTGGACATCCCTCTCACAATCCAGGACTGCTGGCTCCCAACTGCTCTCCTGCCTGCCTTTCTGATTGCCCCTAACTGCTTCTGCCTGATCACCCCCTAACTACTCCCATGCCAGCCTGATGATTGATGTCTAACTGCTCCCCGCCAGCCCGTTTGCCCCCAACTTCGTGTAACTGCCCTCCTTTGCAGGGTTGATTGCCCCCAACTGCCCTTCCTTGCAGGCCTGGTCCCCTCAAATGCCCTCCCCTGCTGGCCTTCTTGTGGTGGCCATCTTGTGTTCACATGGGGGCAGCCATCTTGTGTGTTGGAGTGATGGTCAATCTGCATATTACTCTTTTATTAGATAGGATAGAGGCCTGGTGCACGGGTCGGGGCCAGTTGGTTTGCCCTGAAGGGTGTCCTGGATCAGGGCAGGGCTCCCTTGGGGTGTGGGGCAGCCTGAGCAAGGGGCCTGTGGTGGTTTTCAGGTCAGCCACGCCCCTGGTGACCCAAGTGGAGGTCCTGGTATCTGGAATTTACTTACCTTCTACAAATGAAACTTTGTAGCTTGGAGCGGAGCCAAGCCTCCTACTCACTCCATAGTGGCAGCTATTTCTGTTGGAATTTCTGTATCTTCTACAATTGAACTTTGTAGCCTGGAGTGGAGGCTTGAGCCGGCCAGGGCTGCAGAAGCTTGGATTCTTCCATTGCCCAGGGCAACCCTAGCCTCCTGCTCTTCCAGCTCAGTGGCTGCCACCATTTTTGTTGGAATTTATTTACCTTCTGTAATTGAAACTTTGTACCCCTGAGTGGAGGTCTGGGCTTCCTCCATTGCCAGGGAAACCCAAGCCTTCCCCCTCCTCTCTGTGGCTGCAGCCATTTTGTTTGGAGTTAATTTGCATACTTGCTCTGATTGGCTGGTGGGCATGGCTGGTGGGTGTAGTGGAGAGAGCAGAAATAGTAATATTTTGGCAGGAGGATGGGTGGAAAGGAAGAAAGAGGGAGCTTGCTGATGTGCTGGGAATGTGCTACGTGCTATGTCTTCACCTGCATGGTGGCAGTTATACAAGGGGAAATTTATGTGAATTCATCAGACTGTGCACTTAAGAGTTGTTCATTTTAGCCGAAACCAGTTTGGCTCAGTGGATAGAGCTTCGGCCTGTGGACTAAAAGGTCCTGGGTTCGATTCCGGTCAAGGGCATGTACCTTGGTTGCAGGCACATCCCCAGTGGGGATGTGCAAGAGGCAGCTGGTCGATGTTTCTCTCTCATCAACGTTTCTAACTCTCTATCCCTCTCAATTCCTCTCTGTGTAAAATCAATAAAAATAAAAAAATTAAAAAAAGACTTGTTCATTTTACATGTACATGTAAATTACTTACATTTGAAAAAGATTTTTAATTGATTTTTAGAGAGAGCAGAAGGGAGAAGGGGGGAGAGAGAGAGAGACTGAGACAGAGACATTGATGTGAGAGCAAAACATCTCAGGGACAGAGCCTGCAACTGGGCATGTGCTGTGTCCTGGGATGGAATGGGCAACATTTCAGTGCTGGGATGACGCCTAGCCAGCGGAGCCACACACCAGCCAGGGCTGTTTACCTTTGTATATGTATAAATAATGTCAATTAAACACCCTTCGCCCCAGGAGCTGCATTTTATATCAACATCCATTTTATTTATTAGGAGAGTATTTAGCTCTAGATGTGACATGCCAATAGCTGGCCATCTTGCAGGCTGCAGTCAGTCTGTCCCAGTGAGTGACCCCATTTTGGAGCCAGCCTGGAGCTGACAGGTATATGATGAGGGTCATGCAGGATCATCGCTGACAGCTGGAGATGCCATCACAGCCATCGGCAGCAGAGTACTGGGAACATCAGGCAGTGGACTGTGCTTCCCACCCCGAGGCTGCGAGGCACTAGCCTGGCCATGGAAGGATTACAAAGCCTCTCAATTTAAAGAGACGGGCGGAGGGGAGGGGAGGGGAGGGGCCTGTGGGCAGCACGATTTATAAATAGTCATTTCCCTGGGCTGCCTGATGGTGAAGGGGTTGTTTAGTAAATCTTTCTCCTTTTAAGGATCCATTTTCGGAGACCATTGGAAAACACCAGTTTCATTGTTATCTTTTGGGGTTTCATCAAGCCAGCCGAGTTTGACAATCTTCCTGTCTGCCTGGCTTAGAGACAGGCCTTAGGTATTTTGAATCGCCTCTCCATGGAGCACAGAGGTGATGATGATGATGATGATGTGTCTTTTGCCAAGTGGATGAGCAGCTTCTGGGGCCACAGCTGGATGGAGGAGGATGAGAGAGGACTCCGGGACCGCCGAGGATCACACCACACCAGTTACAGGAAAGCTTCCCTGCCCTGCCCAGTGAGTTATCCCATGGAACAGGGGAGGGCTGGACTAGGGAGGGGGTTTTCTCATGGACAATTTTGAAAGAGTCCTTCAGTATAAAGTTTTCTTTGGTTGAAAATCAGTGCTCCCAAGTTTTTTTATGTCCACAAAAATACCTTTTATCATTTTGTCTTAGCCTCCAAGGGACCTGATTTTCTTCTACAGATAGTGATTTCATTATTATTATTATTATTATTATTATTATTATTTTATTTTTGTTTTTATTTGTTTTTTCTTTTTCCTTTTTTAATTTCATTTTTATTTATTTATTTTTCTGTCTTCTTCTTCTTCTTCTTCTTCTTCTTCTTCTTCTTCTTTTCTTTCAAAAAAAAAACCTTTAATATTCACCTTCCACTTTTGAAAGATGATTAAATCTTTGAGTTATACATGTTTTGAGTAATCTTTTTCCTATTCATCACCTTTTAAGGAAAGTGTTATGGGCAGAGGTTGGCCTTCTTTTCAGTTCATTTTCTTTTTCTTGACATTTATTTATTTTTTAAATTACTTTATTGATTAAAGTATCACATATTTGTCCTTATTCCCCCATTCCTATCCCAAATCCCTCCCCACACATACCCTCACTCTCCTGTTGTCTGTGACCACTGGTTAGGCTCATATGCATGCACACAAGTCCTTTGGTGATCTCTCTCCTTTATCCCTCCCCTCCCCTATCTTCCCTCTGAGGTCTGACAGTCTGATCAATGCTGTTCTTGTTCATCAGTCTATGTTGTTCATCATTTCCCCTTTTCTGTTTTCTCCTTAATTTTTTTTAAAAAATGTAATGATTTCTTCATTTTTAGTACTAAGGTATCTTTAACTTCTATGCAGAGATCCTGATAAGCTTGAGATAATCCTACTGAGTGACAATATAATTCAGGTCAAAGGGAAGAAACTTGATGCTATAGTTACTAGTAGTCTGTGTAGCATTGGTGTGGACCAATGTGTAACTTACAATAGTCTTTTTAAACAGTGAAAATAACTTCACTATTTGGTGAATTCTAAGGAACTGGGGATTCCATATAATAAATCACTCCTTTTGCCTGGCAAGTATGACTCAGTTAGCTGGAGTGTTGCCCCATATTCCAAATGGACACAAGTTCAATTCCTGATCAGGGCACATACCCAAGTTTTGGGTTCAGTTCCTGGTCAGGGTGCCTACAGAAGGCAGTCGCTGATGGATGTCTCTCTCTCTCATTGATGTTCCTCTCTCTCTCTCTCTCTCTCTCTCTCTCTCTCTCTCTCTTTTGTCCCACCCCCTTTTCCTTCCTCTCTGAAATTAATAAAAGTATATTTATAAATGCTGGGGTTCTTGTCCCAGCCTTACAAAGGGTTCAGCATTCTGAAGAAAGGGGCTGATGCATAGATTCAAGAAGGAGTCCAAGGATGAAAGATAATTTTGAAAGGCATTGGGGGGTCAGAGGATCTTCAGCTAAAGGAACTGAAGACTCACTTTTGTCTAAGGACCCCATGCTATTAATTTAACACAATTTGTCCTAAGGCAAGGTGGAGATATACACTTCAAAGGGTAGGGTTACAGAAGCATTGTCAGTTTGGGGAATAGCCTACAGCTATTCAGGATTTTGGCCAACAGGAGGCAACAAAATGCCCGGAGCTGTCTGACAGCAGACAATCCTATTCCTGTTTCAGGGAGATGTTTTTTTAGCTGTCTCAGCAGGTAATTACTTTTGTGGCTTACCCTTGTTGAGCCGCCCAAGCTTCATCAACCTTTTGGTGAAACTCTTGTAATTATTACACACTGAAATTGGTTCCCGAAAATAAGTAAGTAAGTAAATAAATAAATAAATAAATAAATCACCCCCTTTGATAAAATTTTTTAAAATATATTTTATTGATTTTTTACAGAGAGGAAGGGAGAGAGAGAGCTAGAAACATCGATGAGAGAGACACATCGACCAGCTGCCTCTTGCACACCCCCTACCCGGGATGTGCCTGCACCCAACGTACATGCCCCCGACCGGAATCGAACCCGGGACCCTTCAGTCAGCAGACCGACGCTCTACTGCTGAGCCAAACCGGTTTCGGTCCCTTTGATAAATTTGATACACTTTTTTTCTTCTCGTTCTCATTTGGTTTCCTGATGGGAGAGGGAACCAAAATTCTCCCATCCTTAGCACTATTTTCCTATGGCTGGGCCGCGCACCAGTGTCTAGGGAGGACGATGTGAGCTGGAAAGCCCTGAGGGGAATGGATGGGCCTGGCGAGGTGCGAGGTGCGAGGTGGGGACTGGGCAGCAGGTACCAGCAGGGTTCCTCTGCTCACCTGGGGGAGGGGGTAGAAGCTCCACAGTAGACAGTCTGTCCTCTGCTTCACAGCTACACAATGATGCTGCAGCTTTTCTCTTTTCAAGTCACTTAGAATTCTAGGTGCCAGAGAATCCCTCCCACCCTCCTGTTTCTGTCAACCCCAGAACCAAGTAATTTTGGGGGTAATATTATTTTATTTTATTTTTAGCTCCCGGGTTCTCAGACGCAGCCTCTTTTATTCCCAGTGGTCAGCAAGGAGGAGGAATGAGACCTCTTGGAGACACAAATGTTTAAAAATAGGTCTCTTGCCAAATGTGGACTCAAGGACAAAGGGCAAGCTTCAATGCCTCTGTGAGCTCCAGGTTCCTTAAGTGAAAAAGAAGGGCTTGGGCTGGGTGATCTCTGAGAACACTGCTTGCTCTGACTTTCCACGGCTCTGTTATAAAACAGAACTCCTACTTATCACACTCTTATTTTAATCTCCCATGTTCCACATCAAGTGAGGCATTCATAATGTGTGAGCCTAGGATACGATTAGTTTCCAGTTTCCAGATAATGTGAACAGGAGGAAACAAAGAGGAAAAAATGTGATTTATTATACTATTTGTCACAACAGCCTGTTAGAGCCACAGAAAATATGAAAACAAAGGAAGATACAGGCATAAAATGGGATTTCTTAAATAAGTTTTACTATCTATTAGACTTTAAAAACTGAGATAAATCCTTTATTTAGAGAATTGACTTTTAGGTTGCAATGTATATTTTGTTTGTTTTTGAACTATATTTTTATTGATTTCAGTGAGGAGGGGAGAGAAAGAAAGAGCAATAATGAGAATCATTGATGGGGCTGCCTCCTGTATGCCCCCTACTGGGGATCGAGCCCACAACCTGGGCATGTGCCCTGACTGGGAACTGAACCATGATCACCTGGTTTATAGGTCATTGCTCAATTACTAAGCCACAACAGCCAGGCTAGGTTGCAATGCTTTTCAGTGAGTTTTAGGTACTGAGTTCACTGGCCTAGGGCTTTAACATCAAATGGACTTCCTCGGTGTTTCTTCTGTGCTCCAAGGAAGCTGCATCTGTGCCTCCCACATTACAGTATATTGTTGTGGGGTCGAACCCTGGGTTCAAAATAAGACCACCATATTAAAAAAATATATATATTAAAAACAAAACAAAACCGAAATCGGTTTGGCTCAATGGATAGAGCGTGGGCTTGGGGACTGAAAGGTCCCGGGTTTGATTCCGGTCAAGGGCATGTACCTTGGATGCGGGCATATCCCCAGCAGATGGTGTGCAAGAGGCAGCTAATCAATGATCCTCTCTCATCAATGTTTCTAACTATCCCTCTCTCTTCCTCTCTGCAAAAAATCAATAAAATATATTATTTTTTTTTTTAAAAAAGGAAATTCCCTTAAAAAAAAAAAAGATTGAATTTAATGGCATTTGGGATATGATCTCAGTGGCATGTGGTTTAGATGAGTTTGGCTGCTTCAGTTTCTGAATGAAGGAGACAAGTCCTTGAAACGGGGGTGTGTGTGTGTGTGTGTGTGTGTGTGTGTGGAGCAACTTCGGGGAAGGTGCCAAGTGTCTGAGGCATGGAGCCTCATAAGTGCCAAGAGGCTTTCTTATAGCTCTCCCTTATTTCCCTAGTTATGCCTAGTGATAGGGTCTTCATGGCAGCTTCACATTGATTTAGTGCCACCACATGACAGAGCAGGATCCACTTATTCCCTCAATTAAAAAAAAATCATTTAAATGCATACTTTAAAAATTTTTAATGAATAAATAAATAAATGCATAATTTAGAATGTCCTTTAGTTCCCCTAAAGGATGTCCAGTGGATGGTATTGAATCTCTTTATTATTTCTACAAGAACTACCTACCACTTTATCAGCTGAAAACTGGAATTTCCCCCCCCTGATGCTGTTTCCATTTGTCGACTAACTTACATTCATCCTGATTCTGATGTTATCACTGGACACTGTTATATATATTACTTACTAGTGATCCAGTGCACAGATTCATGCCCATTGAAAGGAAATCAATTAGAAGGGGCGGCGGGGCTGGACTGGGTGAGAGGGGCCGGACATGCCCTGGACCCAACCTCACGTGGCCCCTCCTCAGTTGGCCACATCTGAGGCAGTGCTGTGGCTCAGAGCCTTGAGTCAAAGGGATCTGTGGAGTGAGCAGGGACCCTCTGGCAGGTGGGGTCCCTTGGCCTGGCCTGCGGGGATCAGGCCGAAACTGACTCTCCAACATCCCCCAGGGGGTCCTGGAATGCTAGAGGGCACTCTGCAAAGATGCTGTTGTACAGGGTGGAACTCAAACCAGATTCAGGACCGACAGCGCCCCAGCAACAACATAACCCATGGCCAAAGGTAGAATCACGTGTACCCATGAGGAATTGGGCTTCCTCCTCTCTGGTTCCAGGGTGTGACACCCGGGAACCTCCGTTGCCAAGTCACTGCAGCTCTGCAGTTTCTGCATTGAGCGTCTGCCCCCTGCTGGTCAATGCATGTCATAGCTACTGGTCAGACACAGCATATTAACCATATATATATATATATATTCTTTAAAATATATTTTTTATTTATTTTGTACAGAGAGGAAGGGAGAGAGATAGAGAGTTAGAAACATCGATGAGAGAGAGTCATTGATCAGTTGCCTCTTGCACACCCCCTACTGGGGATATACCCGCAACCAAGG